GACTTGATAATTCACTACATCCCGCAAATCTGCAACCCAAACTTTTTCTTCCGTCATGAATACTAGAGACTAACTATCCTCATAGATGCACGTCTTTCGTTTTTGACCTCACTCTGATTCAGAACTGTCTTCTGAGAGCACATCTAGCCCCCGGCTGTTTACTAGGAGCAACCACGAGTTCTTTGTCAATTATTTTCTTTTATGGTGAGTGTAGTGTTGGCCATGTGTTTTGTGGAATGCTTTTGGACATTATCTTTAAAAATAAATTCATTAGAGTGCGTTTAGCTTATGCGACTAAAAGTCTGGAGCGTTTTGTGTCGATTTCAAAGAGGTGAACACTTTTGTATCTATTTATTTAAAAAAAATAATTATTTATTGACTTATTTATTTATTTATTGACTTATTTATTGCATGGACATTAAACCTTATAGTTGGCATTAATTCATTTGTACTCCAGAACATTGGTTCAATATTGTTTGAAAGTTGCACATGTTGAAAGTTGAAGTTAATCTCAAAGTGAAGGTTTATCATTATCTTTTATTCATTTTTTGCTTTTAAGTTTTTAAAAAGTTCATTATATGTGACAGCTTTGATGCTCCTCGTAGATCACATTTTATTCTGCCATGCAAAACAACCCCCCCCAAAAAACAAAACAAAAACAACAACAACAACAAAACAACAAAATAACAAAACAAACCAAAACAACAACAACCCACAACAAAAACAAAAACTTAAACAAAACAACAAAACAACAACAACAAAAAACCCCAAAACAATAACAACAATAACAAAACACCAAACAAAAAACAAAGTACATCACAAAACTGTTCCTTGGTTATTTGGCACTGATTGACTAAACGGTAACGGTACTAACTTTATAATGATTAAAGGCTGTTGTTGTAAACTGACACTTTATTAACTGCTAGTCCCGAGCAGATGAATAAGTACGCTAATTGGGACATCTGGGGGAATTAGTATTGCTTCTTCCTGGACCGGCGTCTGTGGTGTAGCGGTTTGGAGCTTCACTGTTGCACGCAGAGTTCAGTTCTCGTGTTGGTAGAAATTTTATTTGGTATCTCGATCTTCCTGCTGTGACGTTGTGTCTCTGTCAGCCCGGATTAGCCCTTGTAGTTGAAGTCCGCCCCCTAAATGATTTAAATTGTGTCGATATTTCGTAGAAACACATTATACCGTACATTTAAAATTCAAAGAAATATTACCTGGTGTTTAGGGATAACAACAATTATCACTGATCATATGAATAATTGCTAATTCATTTTTTATAGTAATGTTACCGTCTGGGTTCACTACCTAAAATAATATGGGTACATCAAGCCATTCGGATCTTCAAACTCATTTCAGAGAGTTCTCAGCGATTGACGCAGCAGGCCAAAGACAGTGTTGCGACATATTTTGAACCACCACACACAAATCAGAAACACGAACTGTTATTTTTCATAGTATCCATGTTGTTGCCGTTACTTTATAGTATGAGATACATAACATGTAATACTTAAAATACTAATCTTATTTTTCAAAGAGCCCCAAACAGCGAGTCTTCTAGCGCTGTCGTTTGACCAGAACACATGTCTTCAGTCAGTTAATTGAACAGAAGGTTTTGGTGGAATAGCTCCATTGCACGCACCGACACCTGTTGTTATGAGGTTCTGGAGCACCGGGGAACAGCAACTCCTTTATTAAAAACAGGAAAAAAATTGTCCAGGGAAGAGATGAGGCTCTTCGCTTTTCCAAACCTACATGGATACTTGGAGGTGTCATCTCTGACTCAGAGGTTGACCCGCCACCCTTCACAGTCGCGATTTGCCGTTGCACATTCTCCCATATCCAAGCCAGTCCATGTTTTTATGTTGTCGTTCCAAGCTACTCTTATTTCTGTTCAGTATAATTTCTTTGGTCATTACATTTCTTTGAGGAAAATACGTGATAAGTTCCCTTCCTTTTCCACCGTGGCTGACCACAATCGTTTTTTCGGTCTTGACATAGCCTCGTGAGCCACACACCTTGCTGTCGTGCCTCGAGACCATTCAAATACCCATTTGTATCTCTGCTCTCTACAGTACTCTAGGCTTTATTGAGATTCCCCAGAAGTGAGTGCGGCACTCATATGGCTGTAGAGAGAAAGAACCCGAAACAACGACGCACTCTCTTTTTGATGATCTTCACGCAAAAGTTAGAGATACGGAGCTTTCGACTGTGAGCAGCGCATAAAGAAAACACGCGAAAAGTGTGTACGGGGCTGGGGTGTGGGTATGGAAATCGAAGTTGTCGTTTGTACAGATGATTGTCTTAAACAGGTGGCGTGAGAAGAGACTCGACTTTAATCTGAATTGTGTAAAACAAATTTCGGGTTGCGGGGGAGGGGGAACAATTACGACCACAGAGTTCCTAGAGGTCATTGGCCAGTTCCTTACCACATTCTAACATGTCTTTCTGGCCAACAACCTGTCAAGTCCTCAAGGCACCTCATAATAAACAGAAGAAACCCAGGTACACCAAGTGATTTATAGACGGACGGGCGCCTCCATCCCTTCCCCACATTATTTTTTTTTCTACAATACACTCATTGATATAAATACACACACAATCGTAGATACATACCCACACAAATACACACACACACACGCA